GTTCTAAAATGTGATAAACTGGGAAAAGGATGCCTTCTGTTTCCCTACTTCCTCTGCCCTAAGTGCCAGTAAGGGTTGTATTATGACAGGTATATTTTGCCTAGCGGGCATACTACGCCGAAATCACTCTGCAGCCAATATCTCTAGTTCCATAGTAGCTGGGAGCTTTGTTATGTTGCTTTAGTTTATAAAGTTCTTGGTTGCTCTCTTCAGAGCAGATTCTGTATCTTTAAGAAACCAAATCTCCTTTTTAAAAGCTCTTCCTGAGAAAAGGATGTTACACATGAGTAGAAAAATGCAGTCAAGAAAGGCTAATTGAATGAAAAGGGAGAATTAGGTTAAAAAATAGAATACAATCTAGTATCACATTTTCACTAGTGTAACCTGAAATGAAGGTGTCTCCAAGTCCCTAGTGATGCCAGAGTGTTTAGATGTTGGGCACAGATGGAGACACCTATTGAAATGTGTCTGAAGAAGATTAATAGGACTTGTCAGTGTTGGGAAAGCACTGCTTTGCTGTAAATTTCTACTAGCACAAGATGAATTACCGATGAATGCTCAGTTATCAACCCCATCACTATCATTCGACACTAAATCAAATTGAGCAGTTATCTACAATCAGAAAATTTCTTTTAAAAATAGGCATACACCTTTAAGCTTAAATGCTTTAATAAAAACACCTCACAAGACAATACTTTCTGTGTTGTGTGGGTAGGTTCGCTAAGGGATATATTTTAAAGTTCTTTCACACAAAAAGCACCCACGTGCCGTGTAAAACTGGGCTTGTCAAATCACAGAAGTAATTATTCACAAAATATTAGTTACATCATATAGCATCTTTAGTCTGGGCCTAATCCAAAGCCTATTACAGTGAATAAGAGGCTTTCCATTAACTTTAACGGGCTTTGGATCAGGCCTTATTCTATCTGTGAAACAAGGATGTTTTTTCCGGGTGGCAAGAGAGGTTTCCCTACCTTAAAGACAACTTATCCAAACCACATTTTAAAGGCAAGTGGCTGTCAAGACTCAGCACATATGCAAGATAACAATAATAAAACATGTACATGGGCAATGATAACTTAATACAAAGAAATGTGTGATGAATACATGAATGATATTTGGTGTAAAATTTTTTCTTTCCATTTTTTTCTTGACAACTTGCAAACCTACCATGGACATTTACCAGCCTAAAGACAGAATCCACTAGCCTTGCCTTTATTGCGATGAGGATTAAAATCAAACAAGACTTTTTGATTCACTCTTAAGAATTTCCTCCCTCTCAACTTGCTCTAGTAGTAATTTTGCCAGGCTGATTTATTCCAGCATGTTTCTAAAAAAGCATCCTTTCTTTTCATTATTGAGGAGTGCAGTCACTTATGTTTGGGGAGGAAAACTTGGGATATTTCTCATATCTCGTCTACGTACCCAGACGTATCTGTGTGGTTAATCAATGACAACATTTCCAACCTTCAGGATCAGGCCTGATCTATACAACTTTTAATAACTGCTCACTAACTTCTTGGCAAACAATTTATCCCTCTCTTTGTTTTCCTATACCTTGCCCATGCTTTGTATTACTTTTTGCTACATATGACATGCTTCTTTCCCCTGGGCTGCAGCTCATGATAAAAGCCTCAAAGCTTTTGCCCATTTCCCATCCCTACCCCTCAAAACCTCTTACTGATCAACCAAAAAAAAAAATCACTGGATAAGTAGAAGTAGTAGTTTTCTTTTTTGTCTTCAGATTCTGGTTTGCACATTGAAATTCGTGCATTTCCTGCTCCCCAACTGATGCAAACCATTGGCTTTCAATACAGCACAACTATTTTAAACCAATAGACCCTTTAAACGTCCCTTTTAATTTATAACCCATTAAAACTTTCCCCTTAACATCTTTTTTTGAGGGCAAAATTCTTTATATATGTTAATATTATACAGAGTACTACTGCAGTCTTTCACGTTTTGCCAGAAACAAAGAGCATATTAATAAAGTTGAATGCAGTGAAAAACTAGCTAGATTGCAGTGGCGGAGAATTATGAACTAGCGAACATAATCCATAAACTCCATTTGGTTACTATAATACTCCAATCTGTATTTATTACAACCCCACTCTGATGCTTATACAACCAAAATTGCTAGATTTATACACTCTAATGGTTTCACAATGGGAAAAACCTGTGTTCTTTATCTTTCTTTTCCTGTCCCAAATAACCCCCTTCCACATACACTCCAGGCTTTTCTGGACCTTGTCTGGGTATCACTGGATAAGTAGAAGTAGTAGTTTTCTTTTTTGTCTTCAGATTCTGGTTTGCACATTGAAATTCGTGCATTTCCTGCTCCCCAACTGATGCAAACCATTGGCTTTCAATACAGCACAACTATTTTAAACCAATAGACCCTTTAAACGTCCCTTTTAATTTATAACCCATTAAAACTTTCCCCTTAACATCTTTTTTTGAGGGCAAAATTCTTTATATATGTTAATATTATACAGAGTACTACTGCAGTCTTTCACGTTTTGCCAGAAACAAAGAGCATATTAATAAAGTTGAATGCAGTGAAAAACTAGCTAGATTGCAGTGGCGGAGAATTATGAACTAGCGAACATAATCCATAAACTCCATTTGGTTACTATAATACTCCAATCTGTATTTATTACAACCCCACTCTGATGCTTATACAACCAAAATTGCTAGATTTATACACTCTAATGGTTTCACAATGGGAAAAACCTGTGTTCTTTATCTTTCTTTTCCTGTCCCAAATAACCCCCTTCCACATACACTCCAGGCTTTTCTGGACCTTGTCTGGGTTTAATCACAGGCTGCGGGACAAAATGTGCATTATTAAGAAATATAAATATTTTCAGAAGCAATCAAAGGGTTGAAAGATTGATTCGGCATGTAGATTGGATTTAATTCGAAGCAGCTTTGTTCTAATGAGGACTACTGGAATACAAAGACAGCAGCCGCTTATGGCCACCAGTTGGGAACTTCGAATCCTTGCAATAACCTGTCAAGAATTTCAAGGAACTGCTAGGTACTAAGGAACAAAGTGGCAGGGGTAGCTGGGGGTCTTAGTGTTTTCAACCTCCTCCTCCAGAGAACAGATTAACATTTCATAGGAACTGTCTTGCAGAAATGACAGTTATGTCTAATTTCTCATGGCATATGGGGCCAAATTCTGCTGATCCTCACTCAGGCAAAGCTCCTGCTGACTTGAACGGTTGTTTTGTTTAAGGAAGGACTGCAAAAATTGAGTGGGAATGGGGCCAATTTCTCAACGGGCATAAATCAGCAGAGCCAACGTGAATTGAATAGATCCATGACCGGAGAATCCAACCCGGTTAAGTTTAATAGTGGCTGGCATAGATACCTTTTGAACCAGATCCTGCTGCCCTGACTTATGAATGCAATGGGACTATTTACAGCAGAGGGTGCTACTCAGAGTGAACAAGTCTGGAGAGACCTGGCTCTCTACTGGCCAGGGAGGTTATGTATTATTGTGGGTTGGCCCACAAGAAATTATATATACCTTGCTCACATAACCAGGGCATTGATAAGGACTATCATTAACCAAATCTGACGCTGAGTTGCTTTCTCTTGAAGTTTTAAAATCTCCAAGTACACCTTCTTTGCAGTGCAGACGGAACATCCCAGGTACTTGGGGAATGCAGGACTCTGGCCGCTTTACTGAACATAGTGCCATATAGTGTAGTTCGAATCACAATACATCCAGGATCAAAACACTGACGAGTTCTTCCCCCCTCCTCCCTTCAACACTCCCATTACCACTTTTGTCCACACAGGCATTAGAAAGAGAGGCAGCTTGAATTTTCTGAACTGTTTCACCCATCCACAGCTGGAATTCCAAAGTGAAATGAAAATGCCTTTAAAATCAACACTACATGGGAGCCTGAGAGAACAAGTTTTCCTTTGTTGTAGGGTATAGTATTATTTGCTGTAGGTTTTTGATATACATTCTAAATTAGGCCTGCAAAGGCATGCTTCATCTTTAATTCATCACTCTCAGCTGAAAGAGATTAGCAATGTCTAGCACGCACCCTTCGTATGGTGCTGACCTCATCAAGTATGGCCTGAAATTAATTAGCCTCATTCATTCCAAATGGAAAAGGATAATGGAGCTGCATTTTAGAGATGACCATCACAAATTGTATGCAGCATATTTAAAAGCCCCCCTATTTTCAAACTATGTAGATTAAAATTCTTTCCAGCACTTGCAATATGTCAGAGTTATCAAGGCACCGGGGGCAGCAACGGTTCCGTTTTGATTTGTGGAACTGGAAGTCACATTTTGTGTGCGTGGCTATAAATGAAGCAAGTTTGTTGTCATGACAGAACACCTGGCTTTCATTTGATATTTCCAGGTGCTTGGGCATGCCTGGCATCAAACTCTTGATGTTTAAACATTCTTCTGCCAGGTCATTTCAATCAATCCAAAAGAGGTGTCCCTTCCCTTTCCCAAACTCCAACTTGGGCTTGGACCCCCAAGTCTCTCATAATCTAATTAGAAATCAGAGTGGACGTGAAACAACGTTGCTCTGCAGAGTGCTGGGTAGTAAATAGGGACTTGTTAGGTTGAAGCTTTTAGGTATCTGTGGGTCAGATTTGCAGAAGTATTCAGGTACCCAAGGGTGCAGAGGCATGAAGGGCAAGATTTGTATATGTATTTAGGTTCCTCTTCTCTACAGGTTTCTAAAGGAGATAGCCACTCAAGCTCTTTTGATAAATCCCACAAGATACCCATCTACATCTTTGGGTGCCTTTACAAATCAGCCATGATTTAAACTATTGTAGTGAACACTTTTCCACCATTGAAATACACAGCTCCACCTGCAACGCATACTTAAGGCTGGTTTTTTCACCACTGAATGGGGAGGAATCAAGGTTGTGACCATCAGACTTTCTTTCATACCTAGCAAAATGTTTTATTAGGGCTCTTTGAGACATGTCGTCTACAATTTTTGGATAAGGGTAGAGGCTGGGTGCTGGATCAGGCCCTAAGATGTTTATAAGCATCACCCCCTCCCAATAACACAGAAGAATCTCTGTATACATGCAACACTTGAAATACCTAAGTATGAGCTTTGCTACACCACAGTGGTCCATTATTTGCAGTATTGTGACTCTATTAGTGTTTTGTGCCTGATACACAAGAAAGAGGAATATGTCCATGATAACCCAACTGTGCAACATCTGCTGTGATCACCCAATGCCCTGAAATGTGAGCTTTAATGATCCTTCCTTTATGCATATTTAACTACAAATATTTTTCCTGTAAAGGATCCCACAGAAATCAAACTCTCACCCCATTCAGAATCAGGCCTCTTACTGCAACTCCCTGAACTTCTACTTGACTGCTTGTCTGACCCAGGTGGGAACCACTCACGTCTTGGAGCTTCCAAGTTTAGGTCGGTCAAATAAAACGAACAGATGTTATGAACAGAAGAAGAAATCAAGCCATAGCTATAAAAGCCTTATTTTCAGGGGCAACACAGAATAGCTTAAACTGTTGTGTTAGCCTGTATAGTGATTCCACATCAATTTTGTTTGTAGATGTTATCTCTGCTCAGAACGGTTTCCTCCTAAATTAACTAGACAGTTGAAGATATGAGAAGCATCTTGACCCACATATATACAGACTTGTACCCAGAAGCCTTCTGATCCCCGAGCAACCCACAGTAAAATCCCGTCACGATGGACTAATAAACATTTATCATAATTTTCAACTTTTCAAAGTTTGTAGCGTACCAAGACAATTGCAACTGGCTCTCGTCATTGGTCTCTCAGTTGAGGATCGAGATTCGGCAAGATGATTGCTCGCCTGTAATCCTATGAACTAGATGCATCTGATCATGAACTTTACTGGATATAATCTGTCTTCAGTAGGTCCCTCCTCTCTCCCAGCACACTCCCTTCTCTTTCCAGTCTCTCCCCATTCCCCCTAAGGAAACTGATATTTTGGTTGGTTTATTTTAACACGAAGAAGCATTTCATAAATTCCAGCTAGGTGGTGTGATTCATGTGGGACATGAAAACATCTTTAAAAATAAGCTGAACATACATTTTTAGGCATATGTAACATTTCTAAGTAAGCACAGATTTTCAATTCAGCCCTTTTACTACTGAAAAATCAATATACTCGATAATCCAAGGCATTCAGATGAATATGAATGGTCGTGATTACCATTTTATTTCTTGCAGAATGGTCAGACCAGGAGGCCTACTCATGATACGAGACTATTGTCACTTAGGAGCTACCTGTATTTTTGGATTCAAGATGCAAGCAATTCCATCATCCAAAAAGGGGTCATTAAGATTGTATTCAAATTGGTAGCTTGATTCATCCCTCTTCAGTGAGGACTCCAAAAATGAACATTATTTGGCCTTTTTAATATAAATATCATATAACAAAGATCTTACTTTAAATGATGCCGCTTACCCAACTAGATTCCAAAACACACTGCATGTTCTCATTCACGTTGATGGTAAACCTCAGCTTCTTCTAGACAGGGGTTTGTTAGCCCTAGAGCACAATTTAAGATGGGGAAAAAAAACAAAGTTGGAAACAAAGACGTGTCTAGAAAGTGTAGATTGGTTTAGATAAGCAAGATGCAATTGCCAACACTGGAATTTGGTGACGGCACTCTGAGTACAAGAAGCAAATCTTTACCCATTCAAGCAAAAATTTACTTACTTTCAATAACGGCATTCATGAGACACTGTGGTGAAGACTGACATCAGTGGGTGACCTTCTGGACTCAGGCTGCCTATTGCCACCCTAAGCAAAATGTAGCGAGTTCATCGGAGGATGGTCATCAACTCTGAATGCTCCCTTGTGGGCGGAAGTCAGATTTTTAACCTAAGCCAGGATTTTTGCTGTGTTTCCTTCTGAGGAGAGGAGGTTTTTTTTTGTTTCTGAATGTGGGGTTTGTGTCAAGGTCAGAGTCATTTGGGATCATTTGTGTTCATACATACTAAGGAATAGCGGGAGCTTTTCTAAGGTACAACAGGCAATTAGGTGTTCAACTTTTCTTTGAAAGTTATTTGTAGCTGGGTACCTGAATCATTGACCTGATGTGGTTTCTCTTAAGCCCCTGTGAAATGACAGGTCCAGGACTATCCAAACCAAGAGGCATAGAGGAAACTGAAGATGTTGGCGCTGCACGCAGCAGTCCTTCAAATCCCAGTTAAATTATTTGGCTCTTCCTTCCCTTTTTCTTCTAATATTAGCACAAACTATTAGCCCTTAGGAATAATTACAACAGCATTTCTGTTAATGAAAGCCCCAAGCCAGTAACTCATTTTCCTGTTTCTCCATTCAGCCTAACTCTAGGCATGCCATTCTAAGCTGTTCCTGTGCCAAAAGTTGGGGTTTGAAGGCTCATTTTGAGGCCCTGTAACCAACAGGGAAACAGATACTTCTTATGGGATGAGGGTGTAAATCTGTGGTGCCTCTCTCGATGTGTTGTCACCCACTTATACAAAGTTTTCATGTATCTTTATGTGTACCAGGCAGAAATTCCAGTAAGCAGGCTCAGTTAGAGAAGGAGGGGACATTTGACAAGGCTCTATATATGGGACTTCACGTGGGCCTTCAAAAGAGCTGGCAGCTGGATCTTTATCTTAATACACCACCAGCCTATCAAATGAATGTCTAGGACCTAAGTGAACTTCTGCTCATGGGGCCTCTTTGAAGTCAATGGGGTGGATCCCTGGCCTGGAGTAAGCTCCCTGTTGCACAGCTTCAATTGAAGACCAGGGATAAGCTGCCTTAAAAGGGCCCTGGAGGATTCCCTCGGTACAGGAGAAATCTTCTGTATCATGAAGCTGGCAAGGCCCTCTTTACGCTGGGCTAGCAATCACAGAGGACTAACAGGCATGGAGGGAGGCTGGAGCCTTCTGGGTCAGATGAAGAACATGGAAGCTGCTGCTGCACCTTGTTCAGTCCCTAGTCAGCACAGAGGACCTGGGGTAGCAGCAAGGTGTCTTTAACCATCTTTGTCTTTTTTTCTCAACTGCACTTTTATATAACTCTGTGAAGCTGGGAATGAAACCCAGTGCACCCGTACAACTAAACTAAGGCAGAATTTGGTTCACTAAGTGGATTTATCATGGGTCTCTGTAGGGTTCAGTACATACCAAGTTTGACTCCAAGTTCCTGTGAGGATGAGTCCTTTGTACAAGCTAAAATGAACAGGCACGATACTAGAGAAGAACAAGATATTTTAGATTTAAAAAACCCATCTATTTGACCTTTCATCCAGCTCCAGAACCAAACTCAGTCTGATCCTTTTCTGTCTTTTTTTTTCTAGATGCAGAAAGCAACAGTATGATATTGTGCCATAATGAATCCTTCATCATGATTGAAAAAGTGCAACAGGGAAACATGTTTAATAGACTGAAAAATAAAGAAATACCAGCTAATGGAAGGTGAGTGGATGATAGTTTCCACTGAGTGTTAATGGATGTGTGTGTGTGCATGGTGATAAACTCTTGTGGTCAGAGACTGATGGAATAAAGCTGAAATAAGTCACCAGATAAATGTTCTCAGTGACAATCTTTGTGGAACATGCTACTTCCCCAAAGCAACACTGGAATTACATGCGCTCCCCTCTGAGTGGGATACGCTGTCTGCCCAGGTCTTAAAGTAACTGCGCCATTGAAGTCAACACATACAAGTCACAGGATGTCAGAGAAAATAATGGGATCCTTTGCATATATATATTATAGTGAACTCCCCCTCCCACACAAGCTGAGTTATAGATGGGCATGGCTTGAAAATGAGGCCAGAAAAATGGGAATTGGAATTTGATAATTTTGGACATTGTGGCCTGCGTCAGAGGAGGCCACTGCTGCTATGTCGTTGTACTGGATATGTTAAAAGTTTGCTGTTTTTTCTATTTTTGTGTTGTGTTATCCCCCTGGCGCTCTGTTTTGTATAGCGTAGTCTAAAAGTTTAACTATGGATAAAGAAGCCTAGAATAAAAAAAAAAATCCTTGTTAGCTATTATTGGTGAACACCAGAACCTTATCTGGAGTAAACAGATGCAGCTCCGATAGCATCAAATGGCATCATGCTACTTTATGCCAGTTAAAGCTCCAGTCCTGGTCTTGCTGCTTTTGCTCAGGCAGAACACTGCACTAAACATGCTAGAGTAAGACCAGCAGGACTGGGTTGTGAGCGAGTGTCCGAGTTGCAAGGCACGTGAATGCCTGCCAAGGGAGCTCAGCCATGCTCAGAAGTATGTAAAGTGCTGGAGCTGAAAAGTGTCAAAGTAGCATTTGTGACCAATTACCCGAGATGAAGAGGGCAGAGTTATGTTTACACATAGTAATGGGCAGCAATTCCAGTTCACAAGCTTGCACTGGATTTCCTTCCAGCCCTGGCACTCATGTGCATATTTCCACTCGCTTGCACAGAGCAGGGGGAAAAAAACCCAGGACTAACAACTTGCAAATACAAACAAGCAAACATATGACAACAACAACAAATGAGGGAAGGAAACTGCCACGTAGCAGCCAGGTAATTAAACATATACTGCGATATGCAAAAAAGATCATGGATCATTGTATCAGTAAAATAGCTTTATCAGCTGGGCTGAAAAATTATGCATGATGCGTCTGGATTGTTATTTTTCTCCCACCTGTGAAGCCCTGAGAAATGATCTATGCAAAAGACCGAGAAGTGAAAACTGCCTCTGCCATCTTCTGTTTAACTAACACAGGTATACAGATTTAATGCCATTTATCATGATATTATGGATTAAACAGTAACTAACGGTTGACAATGACAATGTTATCATGAGAGCTGCAAAGAATGGCTAGAATTTGATTGTGGCAGCTATTACCATTGTGGGCAAGCACAAGCTTGTCGAAGTTTTGGCTGGGACTCAAAGGCTGGAATGAGCCTGTTCAGATTTAGGGGCAGTTTATTTTTCATTCAACAAAGGTTTATCTGCCCCTGCCCCCCAAGTTAACCCCCAGAATTGAAACAGCTTGAAAAATGATTCATCTTTCTGCTAACAGGTTCCTGATGTTAAAGGTCTGACCTGAAAAAGAGCGGTGCACAGGTCAGACTGCAAGGGTGGATAGGGGAGTGAGTTGCCCCTGACCTGCAACCCTACCAAATGTAGCTATTTTAATAGCCAAGGCAGCATATTCCAGATCAGCAGCTGAAGAGATGCCTTCCAGCTAAGGCTTTCCTAAATATTAACCCTGTCAGTGCTGGATGATCTCACTGTGGAGATTTGCTGGGCTTGACAGTATCTTTGACTGTAAGGCTCTCTTTAAGCATCTGCAAAGTTCATAGCAAGTGGGCATCTCCTTGGCACCACTGCCACTTGTTCCTCAATGCATCCAGAGGTGAGCCCACTTCTCTTTGATTTAAGAGACAAATATCAGTCACCCAAGGTCAAATATTTCTGAATTCAAGTTTCAAAAAAAATGAGGGGCTGGCTAGTCCGCAGCAATGTCAGCTTCTTCATTGGTATACCTCAAACCTAAAGCTAATGAGACCCTCCTCTATCTATAAGAATGGAGTTGAATCTTCATGGTGTCTCTATCCTTGGCCTCTCTTTTATGAATATCACATTAGGTGATAATCAGTAGTAACCATTTTTGTGGTGCAGTTGATATTTGTCTATTAGCAAACAACAGAGATGATGCAAGTCATTTTGAGCATATCACTAACCAGCCTCTAGATGGTAATGTCTTTTGGTCACTCACCAAACGGGGTTGGATTTGGATTCATTAACTGGAGATGAAAGACACTATATCTATCTGTCTGTCTGTCTATGCATTACAAATCCTTTGGACTATCCCATCCCCTTGAACAGCCATTGCATTTAAATAAAGCAGTGCTGCCAGCCAGAAGTAATCAAGGAGTTAAAGAGAGAGAGAGAGGAATCATCTGCAATTGTGAATGCTTATTGTGGCAGGTGTCTTCAGGCAACACTGACGCTGGCTGCTGCACTGTTGCAATGGCTGCTCTAGGACTCTTAAGGGCCAGTATGCTTTTGCGATAATTAAAAAATCCCCAACAACATCCATTACATTACCTTTGGCGTTCCCTGCCCTGCACTATTCTGTTCTCTCACATCTCCTCAAGGAGGCATAGCTGTAGAGCATGCAAACCCTAGGAGTGCAGCTAACCAGTGAATTATAATTAGCTAGGTGTTCTAATAGCTACAAAGGGGCTGTGCATGGTATACCATACCCATTTTTCCAGGCTGAAGTGAGCAACTGAACTGCATTCTGCCTCGTACCCAAAAAACAGTGCAGTTGAAGAGATGTCCCATTTCCTAAACAAGCTCAGTGCTTTGGAGGGACGGGAAAGCAGGTGATGTGCAAGCTGCAGCCACTTTTTCTGCTCGTGCCACATAAAGCTGCTGGGGGATGCAGTGATGCAGGAATGAATCTTACGTGGAACACCTCCTCCTATTTGCGAGTATCTTGTATTTAGGACTGTAGAACAGAAATAAAAAAAAAAAGTCAACGTTTGGAGATGACGACAAGGTACCTATTCACAACTGGGGGCAGCCATTCGCATGAGTCCAAGTAAGGCTCAAATTCACACCTTCCAGAACGGTAGTAAAACACTCTAGTTGCTCTGCCATTTTACCCCCCTGTAGGGCGCATCTACACGTGCCTCTATGGCACCGTTGTTACTGCGCCGTCATTTAGTATTTCCTTTAGCCACTACATCACTGTAGCAATGCGGTATAGCGAGGGGGTGTCTCACTGCGGCGACATAGCTGTGGTGTCACAGTTTGTGCCTGCCAATGTTACACCGCTGTAGCGCTTTGCTATGGTGATGTAGCATCTTGTATAGATGTGCCCCCTAGAAGACAAATTCTGCAGATTTTCCATGCATTTGGTGAAAATGTGCATGGTGCATTTTCTCGGTGAGAAAGGAAGCCAATTCTGTGCCATATCTTTATTCTCCCTGATCCCGGCTGAAGCTAAGAATTGGTCAGCCTCTGGGAGTAATAGAGCAGCTGTAGAGCAAGCATAGTAATCTAAGTGCAATATGCTCTGGATGCACAATTTCCCACCATCCCAAATATTCCCAAGGTAACACCTCACGTAGTCAGAGGAAGGGTCTGCGGTTGTACGGCAGCCAAGTTTGCCACTTAGGCAAAGAAAATCTCTTGCAGTCAATTTTCTGAATGGGATGAAGTGTCTGCAGGAGATGAGAGCAGCCAGTTTAAATGATTTACGTTTTTGGGATACTATGTTTTGTTTCTGCTGCTCAACATTTAGGGAAAAACCTGCAAATGTGCAAGTCTCTTGTTGGTGCATTTTGTTCTTAATACAATACTCTACAGAGAGCCACCAGATCTCGTTCCTAGAGAGAAGCACTCTTGGATCATACCGTCTGTTGGGAGGGAGAGATGTGGAGACACAATGGAACGATGTCCAATGTTTTCTCTGTGTGTGTGTGTGTGTGTGTGTGCATGCGCGCACGTGAGTGAGACCCGATGTCTATGCCTCAGACATTTAACAAGACATGATTCTGGAAAATAATACACCTTTCAAAGCGGATATTATCCCTGTCTAAATATGCAAAATCAGGCCTTATCATGAGTAGATCTAGGGATAACATGACAAAATCTAGAAACGGTACCTGTGGACATGGAGGATTCGAAGAAGACATTAAAAGGTGTTGACTGTTCCTCTTTATTTCTGAAGATGTGGGTGGAAGATAAAACAGTGTAATCTCACAAGCCAACACTGCCCCAAATTAACTGGTGAAAGTCTGGCTTGAATGAACCAATATTTTTAGACTCAGTCAGTAGCTTCCCCTTCCATTTTCTTCCTTGCTATTTCTGACTGGGTTGTGAGATTCTCTTTGATATCTGCATGTGCTATTTGTAGGGTGCTTTTATAAGAGTGCTGTGACAACACTATCTGAGCAATCACACATCCTCTTGCTTTCCACTTTCAGCCCATGAAGTGCTGGTTCTTACTGCCCAATTTCCCACCTGTAGCCAAGGGACAGAAACAAACCAACCACCAAACAGAAAAATGAAAGACTAGAAGGTAAGGATCATGGTAAGGCATTCATTATTCATCCTTTGGTTTTTTTAGCAGTCATCATCCAGTAGCACACAGAGGACCCAAGTGAGATCAGGCCTCCATTTGGTTCGGCCCGGCGCAGAGAAAGAGTCTTCGCCCTAAGCCCAAAGACAAAAGGTAGACAAGTAGCAGGAGGAAAAACAGACTGGAAGTGATTCATCCGTGATTACACACAGGAGGTCAGTAGCAAAGTGGTGGCGAAAATCTCTGTGTTGGTAAATCCCAGGCCTGGGCCTTATCTGCACCAGATACTACTGCCTGTCAGGTTGTACAATTTTAGATTGAATTATAAATACAGTGGGTGTTATATTATATCATTGAAAGCAAATTTGTGTATACCAAGTAAACACAAATGCATCCGTTTAATATGTGACATCTCCTTTTCCTTTTAGTTCTGCTTCGATGCCAAGAGTGACAGACACATCAGAAATAAACTAGAATACGAGAGAGAGAAAGAGAAATAAGAGAGCGAGCAAGCATGCAAGAGCAAGCATGCGCATCCTTTTGCTGTATTCTTCAGTATTGTTTTAATTTGTGCTTATGGCATCAGTTTACTGTCACATCAGTGATTGTGGTGATATCATTTTTCACTCTGAAATTAAGCAGAATAAGCTGAAGAAACAAGCCCCAGATGTTGATATGAGTAAAGCAAAAAACCCGATTTCCAAGTAAGTGGGTTCATGCTCCATTTGGATTTCCCACAATGCAAAGTTCTACCGGAATCGCCAACCCAGTCAGAGCACTTCACTTGACCACTTATTCTATTGAATAAAGCATAAATGGCTGCCATAGCAACTGCTGCATCTTTATATATCAAATTATTTTACCAGTTCAGCCCTTTGAGACTTAGCATTTCACTCATAAGGGATCTTATAGCACACATTAGTTATGCTAGTTGTACCTTCTGATGTCTTGGGTAATTTTTTGACACTGTTTGTATTTTACAGTATACCAAAACACTTCCCTACATTTTATTTGAATATTTTAGGCTCTTAAAATATAACAAGATGCAAAAATAACACAACAGGATGATATGGACTGAATATGTGTCTGCAACAGCATCTCTCTGGTACTTATTGGAGTAGTTTGGCTATTCGTTGGTTATATTGGGTTATCTAACACTTTGGCAATCCCACTGGCATCAAGAAGGTAGTGGGGGGCTCAGGTAATATGCGGTACTGGATTTTTTACATTAGTTTCACATGGGAATTGGTTGGGAGTAAATGAATGACTCAAAGGGTGTGTCTACATGAGACGCTTCGAGTGCAGCAGACTAATTCTACTGTGCATTAGTGCGGCGGGCAAAACCTGTGCTAATGTGCTGTAGAATTAGTGTCACCAAAAATTCGTGCACTGGGACTAATATGAAGTAGCACCGATTATGGCGCATTAAGATAGTACCTGTAATCATGGCATACTAATGAATGTGTAGATGCCCCCTATGCGAGTAAGGCTTCATCATCTGGGCTGCTGTGCTTGGCATTAGTATTACTACTTTGAACTAAGTTTATGAGGGAGTTTTGATTTATTTCAATATTTAAATGCATTCTCTGAAGCTGTACTACTGGAAATCAAATAATGTGCTCTCTCTTAGACACGATCATTTCTATCCTAAATAACATAGTCATTCTTTACCCATCTAAATATTCCCATTGAGAGTCTCAAATTTTACTGTGTGTGTCTCCAGATAATGCCCAGAAAAAGACACGTCTTTTTTGGGTAGTGATGTCAACAAATATGCACCGGGGCTCGGACCCACTCTAACTGAGCTCAGGGTTGAAAGTTTACTGCATTCACAGAAGTCTGGCCAGCATGATGTGAAAACATCTGCTGAGAAGCTTCCAATCATTCTGCCTTCCCCTGGCTCCCCAGAATAATCTCTGAAGACATTGAAAAGGTAAGTGTGGGCGTGTTATGTTCGGTGGTAGTAAGATAATCCATATCAAATGTGGCATCCAGAACGGCAGCATCCAAGTGCAAAACAGACTAATTTTGCGAGAAGAAATCTGTAGAGACATTGCCATCATGAGTTTAGGCAGGCCTGCATACTGGTTCTTCACCCACTCTCTCATTTTTGGTGTACTCGCTCCTTGTCTTCGATTTTCACAAAAAAGGCTCGTGTCAAGCTTGGGTTCAGTCTCATAGGGAAATAGGGTGGCAAGGGACCACATGAAGTCATCTAGTCCAGCCCCCTGCTCCCTTGAGAGTCTTCCTTAGGAAGGGACTTGCTGCACTGTGCACTGTCATAGCCTCCGCTATCAGCCTCAGGTAATGTGGTTTAAAAAGGCCCACCCTAAAAGTAATGAACACATGGATCACTGTGGTCAGATTCTACTCTAAGAAGAAATAGTAAAAATGTCCTGGAAAACTATAGGTATGCTGGTATTCAGGATTATTGCTGAGTCCATCAGGACTCCAAGACTTTGTGCTCTCCCAGTAACTTGATGTTTATGTTCAACAAGGATCAAGCTACAGAACGGGTACTGACTGAAACAACTGCATACTACATAAAACTTACGGGGCTCCACATTTCATCACAACCCCCAGCTCAGACTAGGTCCATTGAATTGTTTGCTCAAGTTCATAAACCTTTGAAATGAACCTAGGGTGCAAACACACAGAGATGGCTCTTGTGGTTTGGACACCAAGACCAGGCAAAAATGCACAATAGGCTTTAGGAGTTTGGGGTATGAAACATGAAGTCCATTCTGAACACAAAACCTATAGTGAAATGGGGATAGCATGGTTCCCCATGGATTCAAGTTAAGCTCGTCCCAGATTTTAAGGCAATACGAAACCATTAACGATCATCTCATTTGATTTCCTGCCTAGCTTGTGTCATTTAAATATCAAATATTTTTTAGATGAGGCATATCATTTTGGGGCCATTTAGCACATCTCTTGTAGGCAGTCTAATGAACAGGTTGCTTGAGGTGAGCAAGTTGCTTGTGGGTCAGGTAAGTATGCCAAATAGGGATGCTCTTTGAGATCTGAATGTGGTAAATGGGCCCCTGTATATGGGAGCTATATGTATGCAACTGAAGAGAAAGCCAGTAGTAGATTCCAAGCCAAGAAATATTGTGGCTTCCTCAGCTGGACATCTCCCCTTTGTGCTTGGGGTTTCATGGAGAGTCTTTCTACTCTTCTGTGCTGTAGAACCACTGTTTAATTCATCTGTTCTCTTTACGTGTAGGTTCAATTAACTGGAGAAGAGTCCAGATTAGAAGAGCACATGTAACTCTTCCATCAGGCTGGTGAGTACATGCAATTCCTAAGGCCATGGTTATCATTAATCTTTGTGCCTACACTTGCCTCATTGATGTCAATACTGCTCGCATGTCCAAGCTCTTGAAAATCCCACCTTGGCACCTCTTTATACCAACACGGAGCTATTGGGTTTCCTGGGCAGGGACTGCCTTTATCTTATACAGGGCACCATAAAAATAAAGAACAGGGTGCTGAAACACTTGGCAATAGATGTAGTAACTTATAATAGGAACAGTACAAATTGACATAGCTCTGTTAACTTCAGTGGAACTATGACTTTTTACATTACCTGGGTTTCTGGCCTTGTCTCTTTATTAACTGTCTGGTACTCAGGTGTTATGCTAAAACTGTCAATTTAAGGAAGGCAGTGTGGGAGACAGGATTGCTCATAGATAGAGCACAGGAGACCTGAGCTTTCTGACTGTTTTTGATTTTGGATAACTCTTTTTCCCTCTGCCTTAGCCTCCAGTCCTACAAAAACAGTATTAATGATACCTGCTTCCTTTGCAAAGGGGTTTGTGATCTACAGATGAAGAGCACGGTATAAGAATCAGGAATGATGATTTTTATTGTAGTCCTTATAGCTTGTTTGAGAGATGATGCATTTAAGTAGCAGGTTAGCAGGTGGGTGTGTGCTTATGGTACTAAACACTGCACAAACATACACCTCTTTGCTATTCTTTCTGGAGGCTGAGTCCAGGTATTGCTGTCATAGATACCAGAAAGAGTAGCCAAAAGAAAGGAAAAGAAACACTGGGGAATAAAAGTGCATTTGAAAGAGAAGAAATCTACATTTCAATGCAAATACTTTCAAGCCATTTCAAATAAGAGTCCGAGAGAAATAATTACAAAGTTTGGAAAGAAAGAACGTTAGCTTTGATATCTTTCTCTTCTATGAAGCAATTAAAATAAGCAATTTTTCAAATACTAAGCAGAAAATTACTAATGGCTGAACCCAAATGCTTTCATTTCCTTCTTGGGGCTTTTATTCTTCTAAAAAAAGACCAAAAAAAAAAAAAAGGGAAGGTGGTTTTCCAGATAGATTAACGCATAAAGCAGTCAGTAGCTGAATGTCATAAAAACTACAGCAGCATAGAATAGCGGAGATTAAGAGCCAGATTTAAATCATGCAACAGTCCAGTTAATATCAATGTCTAATTAAGAAATGCATAAGAAGTCTGTAATGTTGATTTGATGAAGAAAAACTTTAATAGGGTTCCTTTTGGAATTTTCCATTTCAATTGCTGTTGTATACTTTTAATGGCTGTCCTACCCAGTCTTTTGTGTTAGCAGGAATCATCCTCAAATTAAAATCAAGGCCTAAAATGAAACACAGGTAGACAAATTAGCTTGTCTAGAGAGCGGTCTTGGTAGAATGACAATGTGAGCTCATGCTGACATTGTAGTACCAATTAGAAAACACATCTCTTCAAGTCTGGTGCGGAAAAATTATTGGCCATACAGCTTTAAATAACATAATACTAACCCGTTTCCTCACTTTTTCTAATCCTGCCCAAATCCCAGTTAATTCATACATTAAAAAAACTGGGAGCTATTAATTAATTAGTCTACTTAATTGGTAAGCTTTTCTATAAAGATATTTACTAGCATGATGAAGAGGTGGAGTTTCCCATCGCTGACAACAGGATTTGGAGCACCCAGTTCCCTGTTGTTGTCAAGGAATTTATCACGGGATAATTCAATCTCTTAAACCTCTTGAATCTATTTATAGGTGTGGTTCTTGCAGTACCCACAAATAATGACAGATGTTTGGCCCACAACTATGGATACAGCTTTTAGAGATGAGCCTTGAAAGGCAATGGCCTACTGAAATTGTTAAACTATGGGGTACTGCACAACTAGGGTCTCATGCACTAATCCACATAGCAAAGAGTGGGGAAGGACTGGCACTGGATTAAAACAGCAGTGTTATTTGTTGCCGCCACTTTTGTTTTTGACCCAACATATCCAGAGGGAATTATCTCAAGGGTCCAGGAGGACTGCAAACTCAAAGTAACCCCTGTGACCTCAGGAGCAAGCACACTAGGGAGTCATTTTAGAGTTCATTAGAACACATTAAACATTGACCATGGTAAAACACCACACATTATTCCCTCTGTCTCTCTCGTCCTTTACAATACACAGTCTCTCCAGAGACCTTTCAGGATTATATCATTAAACTCTGCCCCTTCACTTAGCAAATAAAAAAGGAGAAAAGAATGGAGAAAAAAATTAGAGCAACATACAACATTGGAAGTCCTATAGCTTGGTCACCATTACTGCTGGAGGCATTGTCATCTAAATCCACTGTCGCTATAGGGCCATATAAATCAACATGAATAGATCACTTAAAAAAGTGATACCATACCATGGCAGTTGTGATCAGCTGAGGGTCTTTCAGCTAACAGCCCCTTGATTGAAATGAGTGGGAGTTACTGGCATGGCATTCTTGATGGGCATTTCCAGTTCAACTACTTTCCCTGTCTTGGGTCTAACTAAGTCCCAGTTTTATGACCTTCAGGACATGAGGCAAATTGGTTGGGTTTTTTTTTCTCCTTAACTTTGCATGAGTTGGAAGTAGTGGTGGGTAAAGATATTTTTAACGATTGCTCAAAATAAAGCACTGCCGTTAGAAGTGATTTTGAGGGCAAGTTTTGACACACTTGCACAATTCTTTTAAATCTAAACAGGTACCTGAGCCTTTTAGCAATAATACATGAGAGCTAAGTAAATATTTGGGGAGGGGAGGGGGGAGGAATCCCCCAAACTGCTCAGCTTCCAGACTTCTCTAACTCCATTCACTGCTACCAACTGGATAAGGAAACAGTCTTCTTTCCTGTGCAAAGCTATGTATTCCTTAGCGTTTACTCAAATTATGTTCCAGCCTTTTTGCATGGATTCCCATTGAAAAGATTAAGATAAATCAATATATCAAGTACCTAGTGACAGTAAATCCAGCATGCATTCTCAGTAGGAGGGCAATAAAGCACTGGAATGGGCTACCCAGAGAGGTGGTGCAGTCTTCATCCTTGGAGGTTTTCAAGACCTGGCCAGACAAAGCTTTGGCTGGGATGATATAGTTGGGGATGGGCTGCTTTGAGCAGGGGGTTGGACTAGATGTGACCTCCTGAAGTCCCTTCCAGCCCTCATTTTCTATGAGTCTAAGACAGCACTGTTTTTACTAACACTGAATTGTTCAGAGGACAATGTAAGCCAGATAGTGATGCAAGAGAAAAAGGAGAGGTAACTCCATGGAGTATATGAGGATATGCTGTGGGATGTGAAATTGGAGATTTTCATGGACCAATCTACTTTGTATATTTGTCAAGAGACCCACAATGCTTAGTTTGGGTAAAAGAGGAAAAAAGTAATTTTAGTGATGTTGTGCAGTGATATGGAGTAATCTTCAGCCTTACAATAGATCAGTTCTACCTTGACCCAGCTTTTCACTGCTGTTATTCCATTACTTGTCTTCAATTTTGTTCTTTCTCCCTCATCTTTCTTTCATTTATACCTTCCTTGTCTTGTCTGCATCCATGCCTCCCCTTCTCATCATACACCCCCTCTCATTCCCGGCTATACAGATTTTGCAATATGGCTTTCCATCTTTGCATGCATGTACATCTGTTTATATTTTAAACTCCTCTGGACAGGGACTGTGCCTTGCTTTGTGTTTATAGAGTGCTTAGTGCTGGACCGTGGCTGGTAGGCTCTGCTCCTGACTTGGGTCTCCGAGTGGCCTCACAACAGGAGGAGCAGAGGTGCTCAGTTTTCTTTTGTGGGAGAGTTTATAAATTGCAACTGGAAATGCACATCCATTGTAATGCCACGTTTAAATTTGAGGAGGCACCTGCTACACTGGAAAACAAACAACCCATTCCAAAAAACTCGGCTTTATTCTAGAGCAACAAATTTAAGGGGTGAAGGAATCACTTAACTTTTACGCACAAGTGAAACCAGTCAGGGTGCCAGTTTTAAAGACTGGAATATGTTCCATCCCCTTCTTTGACTTTTCAAATAAGATAATAGCCCTACCAGTTCCAGTTTCCACGTAGGAATACTCCCATGCAGCTTCTACTCGAGTCCCAGGCAGGTTGGAGTGGTTGCCATCAGTTGATCACTGTACAGCTGGCAGGAAGAGATGAAACTGCTCATTTCCATCTGTGACATTTCTCAGCCAGGAAGAAAGCTACAAGGCATCTGACTGTATGCTGGGAGGCATCAGAGCAGCCACCTGTTAGAGAGCCTGATGAAGAAAATTTGGTAAAATGTAGAGCTGCGAAGGACTGCTGGGAGTGAAATAAACTGATAAAGGAGAAGGGGATTGTGCCGTCTTACTACCATCCACAATTTGCGGCTCTCAGATGAGGTCAGGACCCAAGAGGACACAAACAAATACAATCTTATATGTGAAGCAGATTACAAGACGCGCATTGAAGGTGCGGATAGCACTGATCACTACTAGTCAGAGCACTGAAGAGACTCCACTGTTAAAAAAGGGATTTTGAGCAATGAAAGTCCATGTGGCCCAATTAGCAATGCTATTGTTATTAGTCAGAATATAGCACCTTAAAGGGTATTGTTATTTCTGGACTATGTCATTCGTATAACGAATAACCTATGTCATTCATAACCTTGTATTGGAGAAGGTAGACCTGCCTGACTTTGACGGGGAAAGTCACAGAACTTTTGAGTCTGTTACAAGAAAACCACTGTTCCCTACA